GATGTAGGATCGTTGTTGAAAGAATTATTCGCCTTTTGTTGCTCTTGGAAATGCAATCAATACTCTGGTATCACAGCGCCTGGCTCACAGGATCGCGCTGTCTCCTGTCACGGCCGCTCCAGACCCGTCGCCATCTTAGAACCTGGAAATGGGATGATTCTATGAAAGGGGTTTCATTAAGCAAACAGAAATTGGAATGTCTGCTGTGTGCCAGAGTGTTTGATGATTGTGAAAGCCCTTATGGCTGGGACCCTGAGACCCCCAGTACAACTGCTTGCTTGCTCCTGTCAATGTACCAAGCTGGGAATGTGGCAACCCTATACAGTCAGTTCCTGCACTTCCCCTGCTTTGGGTTTCCCCACCCGTGCCCCTTCCCCCACACTATCACCTATAACTTTAAGCAATGGAGATGAGTTATGGAGAAGTTTCTGAAACATACTCCACCATCTTCCTGCTGGAGACATTCACAGTGCTGTCAGCAAGCTGCAGTGTGGTCTCCAGCTGCCCTAACAGAGAAACAGGCCAGAAAGTAATGCAGATTAATGGAGTTGAGAGGGAAATGGTTGATTTTTGACAGAAGGGTCTGTGAAAGCCATTTGTGCTGGGCTGAGGAGACTAAATCAGGAAAGACTCTCAGCATCTTAAATCTGAGATTACTTGTTCCAAAAGGGACTTTGAAAGGTCCTTACAGCTATATGAGTATGTTCCTGCTGCAAGGCTGGGACTGCCTTATCCTGATCCATTTCAGAGGGATGAGAAGCTTTCTTAATTATATCTGGCAAAACACAAGGAAGCTTTTCTCAGTAGCCATTCTACAGTTAACATGCACTGATTGGTAAGTTGCCTCCCATTTTAGTTGTGGGTAAAGTGACTGAATAGTTCTCTGTCACGATAGGCATAGAGTATGAGATTAGGCATTCCTTATTTTATTCTACCCATTTCAACCTGGCTGATGTATTCCAGTTAAAAAGCCCACACTAACACACTGTTGGACATCCTACCTAGTAACTCCATGGTGAGCTCTCCTTCTCTCCTTCCCCTTAGAGTAGGAAGAGGCCCTGTGAGTTATCTTTTTTCCTCCTTCACTCTCTGAAAACAACTTTGTTTATTGTGAAGAGTGCTGCGATGAACATTGGGGTACAGGTATACCTTCGACTTGATGACAAGAGCTGGAATCAGCCCAAATGTCCATCATCGCATGAGTGGATACGGAAAATGTGGTATATCTACACAATGGAATACTACTCAGCTATAAAAACGAATGAAATACTGCCATTTGCAACAACATGGATGGACCTTGAAAGAATAATATTAAGTGAAACGAGTCAGGCAGAGAAAAAGAAATACCACGTTTTCACTTATTGGAGGGAGCTAAAGGTGAATAAATTAATTCACACACATACATACACACACACACACACACACTCACACACACACACACAAAAACGAACAAACAGCAACAACAACAACATCAACAACAACAACAACAAAAAAAAAACC